GCCTTCCCCCAAACCCCACATGTCCCCCCTCTGCATCCTCTGGAGTTCTAATGCAATAAGAGGGGCCCTTAGGGCGGGGGAGGAGGGTTATGGGGGGAAGGGGGGCACCCACGGGTGCTGCGGGTGCAGCCGCAGAGCTTGAGGAGCACCCCAAGGTGGTGGGTCACCCGTGAGGAGCATCGGTCAAGCCTTGAGGAGCACCCATGGGTGCTGTGGGGTGCACCCACGAAGCTTGAGGAGCACCCACCACATCTTGGGGAGCACCCGTGGGTGCTATGGGGTGCACCCTCAAAGCTTGAGGAGCACCCCAAGGTGGTGGGTCACCCGTGAGGAGCATCGGTCAAGCCTTGAGGAGCACCCACGGGTGCTATGGGGTGCACCCACAAAGCTTGAGGAGCACCCATGGTGGGTGGGACACCCATTAGGAGCACCCTCCGTGCCGTGAGGTGCCACTGGGGGTGGAGGGAGCACCCATGGGTGCTGTGGAGAGCACCTACAAAGCTTGAGGAGCACCCATGGTGGGTGGGACACCCATTAGGAGCACCCTCCGTGCCGTGAGGTGCCACTGGGGGTGGAGGGAGCACCCATGGGTGCTGTGGAGAGCACCTACAAAGCTTGAGGAGCACCCATGGGTGTTATGGGGTGCACCCACAAAGCTTGAGGAGCACCCATGGGGGGTAGGACACTCATTGGGAGCACCCTCCATGCCGTGAGGTGCCACCGGGGGTGGAGGGAGCACCCATGGGTGCTGTGGAGAGCACCTACAAAGCTTGAGGAGCACCCACCACGTCTTGGGGAGCACCCGTGGGTGTTACGGGGTGCACCTACAAAGCTTGGGGAGCACCCATGGGTGCTATGGGGTGCACCCACAAAGCTTGAGGAGCACCCACCACGTCTTGGGGAGCACCCGTGGGTGTTACGGGGTGCACCTACAAAGCTTGGGGAGCACCCATGGGTGCTATGGGGTGCACCCACAAAGCTTGAGGAGCAGCCATGGGGGGTGGGACACTCATTGGGAGCACCCTCCATGCCATGAGGTGCCACCGGGGGTGGGGGAGCTCCCATGGGGAGCACCCCCAAAGCTTGAGGAGCACCCACCACATCTTGGAGAGCACCCGTGGGTGTTACGGGGTGCACCCACAAAGCTTGAGGAGCACCCATGGGCGGTGGGATGCTCCCAGGGACCACCCACCGCGCCATGAAGTGTCACCAGGGGTGGTGGACCACCCGTGTGTCCCATGGGGAGCACCCCTGGGTGCTGTGGGGTGCCCTCACCCCAGGGGTGTCCCCGTCTGTCCCTCCCCCCCACCCATAGGTGCCGGCGGACGAGGTGTGCGGGTGCCCCCTGGTGCGGGACGTCTTCGAGCTGACGGGGGACTTCTGCCGCGTCCCCAAGCGCAAGTGTCACCGTCACTACTGCTGGGAGAAGCTGCGCCGCGCGGAGGTGGACCTGGAGCGCGTCCGCGTGGTGGGTGCTCCACAGGGACCCTTGGGTGGCCCCCGGGTCCCTTGGATGGCCCTGAGGTCCCTTGGGTGACGTTGAGGTCTCATGGGTTATGTTGAGGTCTCTTGGGTGGTGTTGAGGGTGCTTTGGGTGTCACCAAGGACCGTTGGGTGGCCACCAGGACCATTGAGGGTGCTTTGGGTGTCACCAAGGTCCCTTGGGTGGCCACCAGGACCGTTGGGTGGCGTTGAGGGTTCCTTGGTCTTTTAGAGGTCATCAAGGGGCCCACGGGTGGCCTTGAGGTCCTTTGGGTGACGTTGAGGCCTTCTGGAGGTCATCGAGGGTCCCTTGGTTGGCCCTGAGGTCCCCTGGGTGGTATTGAGGGTCCTGTGGGTGTCACTAAGGTCTCTTGGGTGGCCCCCGAGTCCATGAGGTGACGCTGAGGTCCCTTGGGTGGCGTTGAGATTCCTTGGTTTTCTGGAGGTCATCAAGGGTCCCTTGGGTGGCCCCGAGGTCCTTTGGGTGACGTTGAGAGTTCCTTGGTTTTCTGGAGACCATCAAGGGTCCCTTGGGTGACATTGAGGTCTCATGGGTTATGTTGAGGTCTCTTGGGTGGCTCTGAGGTCCCTTGGGTGCTGTTGAGGGTCCTTTGGGTGTCACTAAGGTCCCTTGGGTGGCCCTGAGGTCCATTGGGTGACATTGAAGTCTCACGGGTGGCCTTGAGGGTCCCTTGGGTGGGGCTGAGGTGGTGCTGCCCAAGGTTGTCCCCGTGTCCCCAGGGCTGTCCCTGTGTCCCTAAGGGTGGTCCCCGTGTCCCCAGGGTTGTCCCTGTGTCCCCATGGTGTCCCCATGACCCTGGTGGTGTCCCTGTGGTGTCCCCATGGTGTCCCCATGTCCATGTGGTGTCCCCGTGGTGTCCCCATGACCCTGGTGGTGTCCCCGTGGTGCCTCCGTGGTGTCCCTGTGGTGTCCCCATGGTGTCCCCATGACCCTGGTGGTGTCCCCATGGTGTCCCCATGGTGTCCCCATGTCCATGTGGTGTCCCCATGACCCCGGTGGTGTCCCTGTGGTGTCTCCATGGTGTCCCCATGACCCTGGTGGTGTCACCATGGTGCCTCTGTGGTGTCCCCATGGTGTCCCCATGTCCCCGTGGTGTCCCCATGACCCTGGTGGTGTCCCCATGGTGTCCCCATGGTGTCCCCATGTCCATGTGGTGTCCCCATGACCCTGGTGGTGTCCATGTGGTTTCTCCATGGTGTCCCCGTGGTGTCCCCATGGTGTCCCCATGGTGTCCCCATGTCCCCGTGGTGTCCCCATGACCCTGGTGGTGTCCCCGTGGTGTCCCCGTGGTGTCCCCATGACCCTGGTGGTGTCCCCGTGGTGTCCCCGTGGTGTCCCCATGACCCTGGTGGTGTCCCCGTGGTGTCCCCATGGTGTCCCCATGACCCTGGTGGTGTCCCTGTGGTGCCTCCGTGGTGTCCCCATGGTGTCCCCATGTCCATGTGGTGTCCCCATGACCCTGGTGGTGTCCCCATGGTGTCCCCATGGTGTCCCCATGTCCATGTGGTGTCCCCATGACCCTGGTGGTGTCCCTGTGGTGTCCCCATGGTGTCCCCATGACCATGGTGGTGTCCCCATGGTGTTCCCTGGTGTCCCCATGGTGTCCCCATGTCCATGTGGTGTCCCCATGACCCTGGTGGTGTCCGTGTCCCCATGTCCCTGTGGTGTCCCCATGACCCTGGTGGTGTCCCAATGGTGTCCCCATGTCCATGTGGTGTCCCCATGACCCTGGTGGTGTCCCCATGTCGTGTCCCCATGGTGTCCCCATGTCCATGTGGTGTCTCCATGGTGTCCCCATGTCTCCGTGGTGTCTCCGTGGTGTCCCCGTGGTGTCCCCGTGGTGCCTCCGTCGTGTCCCCATGTCCCCGTGGTGTCCCCATGACCCTGGTGGTGTCCCCATGGTGTCCCCATGTCCATGTGGTGTCCCCATGACCCTGGTGGTGTCCCCGTGGTGTCCCCGTGGTGTCCCCATGGTGTCCCCATGGCCCTGGTGGTGTCCCCGTGGTGTCCCCATGGTGTCCCTATGTCCCCGTGATGTCCCCATGTCCATGTGGTGTCCCCATGACCCTGGTGGTGCCTCCGTGGTGTCTCCGTGGTGTCCCCATGGTGTCCCCATGTCCATGTGGTGTCCCCATGACCCTGGTGGTGTCCCTGTGGTGTCCCCATAGTGTCCCCATGTCCCCGTGGTGTCCCCATGGTGTCCCCATGTCCCTGTGGTGCCTCCATGGTGTCCCCATGTCCCCGTGGTGCCTCCGTGGTGTCCCCATGGTGTCCCCGTGGTGCCTCTGTGGTGTCCCCATGTCCATGTGGTGTCCCCATGACCCTGGTGGTGTCCCCATGGTGTCCCCATGTCCATGTGGTGTCCCCATGACCCTGGTGGTGCCTCCGTGGTGTCTCCGTGGTGTCCCCATGGTGTCCCCACGGTGTCCCCTGTCCCCGCAGTGGTACAAGCTGGACGAGCTGTTTGAGCAGGAGCGGAACGTCCGGGCGGCCATGACCAACCGGGCGGGGCTGCTGGCCCTCATGCTGCACCAGACCATCCAGCACGACCCCCTCACCACCGACCTGCGCTCGCACCGCTGACCCCCCCCGGGACCCCCCC